GCGCCGCCCGAGCCCCGCTGCCGGAGTCCTGGGGTTACCGCAGTATATGCGAACCCGTGTTATATTGGATCGTGTTATATCAGGGTAGAGGTGCATATCCATAAAACAGCATAGAGAAGGGCACAAAATAATTTTTTTTTAAATGTTCTCTTGGTGTATTGGGAACTCTTGTGTGGCAGTGAGATGAAAACTGATGGCCAAACTCCCTGCCTGATGGGCATTTTCTTTCTTTCATGGTTTTTGAAGGCATCCTTCAAAAAGTGGAAGTTAAATCCTAGTGAGGAAAATAGAAAGGAGCATAAACTCTGGCAAATGAAGAGTAAAATTATAACTAGGAAGGCCAAAAAAGAATTTGAAGACAAGGTAGCCAAAGACTCCAGGTAATAGCAAAATAAATGTTTAAGTACATCAGAAGCAGGAAGCCTGCTAAACAACCAGTGGGGTCACTGAACGATCAAGATGCTAAAAGAGCACTTAAGGACGATAAGGGCATTACGGAGACACTAAATGAATTCTTTGCATTGGTCTTCACGGTTGAGGCTGTGCGGGAGATTCCCAAACCTGAGCCATTCTTTTTAGGTGACACATCTGAGGACCTGTCTCAGATTGAGGTGTCATTAGATGAGGTTTTGGAACAAATAGATAAAATAAACAGTAATAAGTCACAAGGACCAGATGGTATTCACTCAAGAGATTTGAAGGAACTCAAATGTGAAATTGTAGGATTGTTAACTGTGGTTTGTAACCTATCATTTAAATCAGCTTCTGTACCAAATGACTGGAGGAGAGCTAATGTGACACCAATTTTTATAAAGGGCTCCAGAGGTGACCATGGCAATTACAGGCCGGTAAGCCTGACTTCAGTACCAGGCAAACTGGTTGAAACTATAGTAAAGAACAAAATTGTCAGACACATAATTTGTTGGGGAAGAGTCAACATGTTTTTTGTAAAGGGAAATCGTGCCTCACCAATCTACTAGAATTCTTTGAGGGGGGTCAACAAGCATGTGGACAAGGGGGATCCAGTGGATATAGTGTATTTAGATTTTCAGAAAGCCTTTGACAAGGTCCATCACCGAAGACTCTTAAACAAAGTAAGCAGTCATGGGATAAGAGGGAAGGTCCTCTCATGGATTGGTAACCGGTTAAAAGATAGGAAACAAAGGGGTAGGAATAAATGGTCAGTTTTCAGAATGGAGAGAAGTAAATAGTGGTGTCCCCCAGGGGTCTGTATTGGGCCCAGTCCTATTCAACATATTCATAAATCCTTTGGAAAAAGGGGTAAACAGTGAGGTGACAAAATATGCAGATGATACAAAATTATTCAAGATAGTGACGTCCCAGGCAGACTCTGAAGAGCTACAAAAGGATCTCTCAAAACTGGGTGACTGGGCAACAAAATAGAAGATGAAATTCAATGTTGATCAATGCACATTGAAAAACATAATTCCAACTACATGTATAAAATTATGGGGTTTAAATTAGCTGTTACCACTCAAGAAAGATATTGGAGTCATTGTGGATAGTTCTCTGAAAACATCCACTCAAAGTGCAGCGGCAATCAAAAAAACTAACACAGAACGTTGGGAGTCATTAAGAAAGGAATAGAAAATATCATATTGCCTCTTTATAAATTCATGGTATGCCTACATCTTGAATATTGCATGCAGATGTGGTCGCCCCATCTCAAAAAAAGATATATTGGAATTGGAAAAGGTTCAGAAAAGAGCAACAAAAATGATTAGGGATATGGAACGGCTGCCATATGAGGCGAGATTAATAAGTCTGGGACTTTTCAGCTTGGAAAAAAGACGACTAAGGGGAGGATATGATAGAGGTCCATAAAATCATGACTGGTGTGAAGAAAGTAAATAAGGAAGTGTTATTTACTCCTTCTCCTAACACAAGAACTAGGGGTCACGAAATGAAATTAATAAGCGTCAGGTTTAAAACAAACACAAGGAAGTATTTTTTCACACAACACAGGCAACCTGTGGAACTCCTTACCAGAGGCTGTTGTGAAGGCCAAGACTATAACAGGGTTTAAAAAAGAACTAGATAAATTTATGGAGGATAGGTCCACCAATGGCTTATTAGCCAGGATGGGCAGAGATGGTGTCCCTAGCCTCTGTTTGCCAGAAGCTGGGAATGGGCGATAGGGGATGGATCGCTTGATGATTACCTGTTCTGTTCATTCTCTCTGAAGCACCTGGCATTGGTCACTGTCGGAAGACAGGATACTGGGCTAGATGGACATTTGGTCTGACCCAGTAGGGCCGTTCTTATGGTTGAAAACAATTACTATACATTAGAATTAAGCTCTAATGAGTCATCTTTTGCTTCCATCAATTGTAAACTTTTTCAGGCTGATAATTTCAGTAAGAGGTTAAAATTAACTTATTCCATACAAAAATTCTGCTGTTCAGCAGACTTTGCCATAAAATTAGTTGATCTTAGTATAGTTCCTAGTGGACTACCCTCTCACTTGAAACATAATCAGGTCAGGTTTGAGACACATTGCAGTACAATTGCAGGGAAACTTGCTTGTCTGCAGTCCACATTATAATCCTCCTGATCTGGATAGAGGGCTTCAAGGCTGATGATCTACAATTTCAGGAGAACTAAATTCACTAAAGAAAAAATATTGGCAAATATCATTAAGAAAGGAGGGCAATCTTGTATTAATTCTTAAGTATACATTGCCACACTAAATTTTTGAGGCATTACTGAGGTAGCTTAAATCTGTTTACTATTAAAGTGGAAGATTTCTAGTGAAATGTGTTTCTATTTCATGTTTACAGCAATGAAGTTGACAGAATGATGGAAAGGCATGAGCGTCTCAAGCCAGAAATGTTTGCAGAATTGCTACAGGCAGCAAATACTACTGATGACTTCAGGAAGTGCCCTGTAAGTAGACAGAATAAACAATTCTTACATTTCTGTGGTTTAGACATAGGAAATAATTTCCTAGGATTCAGATTCAGTAATATTTTCGACTGCGTTTGAGTGCAGCTCAACTTCGAACATGCAAACACTTGCATCTACTCCTTGAGTGACAGTTTGTCATCACTTACCTACACATGCAGCTATCATCTGTGTGTGAGGGTTTGCACATAAAGTTGTGGACACACAAATGGCCATTGTGAAAATGAGGTACTTAAGTCCATGTTTTGTTAGTTGAAACTCTTCACTTACTAACAAACCACTTACTTGGTTGGATTTGATGACCCTGAATGATAAATGCTGACTAAATGCAGTTTCCTTTAGTCTGGTTTTTGGTAGTGATATGGCTTGATAAAAGACGGTTTTCTATCTAGTTCATCTCAAGTCTCTTCTTTCTTGCTTGTGTCTGCCTTTCTCTCACTCTTGTCTCTCTCTCATAATTGTCTGGCTTTGTGTTCTAGTACTGTTTGTTTCAGGGCCACAGAGCAATATTCCCGAAAAATACTAAACAATGATCAAAGAGAAGAAAATAATAATAAAGTCCGTGTCCTCCATCTCGTAAGTTTGCCATAAGTGGCTGGGGGAATGAAGCTTGGCTGACTTTGAAGATGACATGATCAGAATATGTGTCCAGTGTTTTATAACAGTATGAGATTACATACATATCTTCATGGTTTCTACTGACAATTTAGAGGTCATAAATTTAAATTTGAGGCTAGGAAAGAAGTGTGGAACGTCTTTATTTTTACTCTGGTCATCCAATAACTTTCTCATTTTCCTAGTTGTTGGCTTGTTCAATCTTTTGCGTCTCACTTTTTTCTTCTAGAGTAACTGTGGTCAAAAAATAAAAATCCGTCGTGTTCTCATGAACTGCCCTGAGATTGTGACAATCGGTTTAGTTTGGGATTCGGAACATTCTGACCTGACCGAAGATGTCATGCGGAATCTGGCAACACAACTTTCATCTTCCTGGGGTATCTGAATTAAAATTAATCTATCTTGTTTTTAAAATTTCAGTCCCAACTGCTGATGCATCATGCTCATGCCTTTTTTTTTCTTCTTAAAATAAGTTTATATATACCATATATACTCGATCATAAGCTGGTTCATTTATAAGCCGATTTCCCACCCACCCAAGATGGATAAGTAAAAATGGAAAATGGCCATCAGGATAAGCCGCTGGTGGGCAGAGATGGTTTGTTTGTTTACCTCGAGGGTCCGCAGGCACGGAGGTAAACCTAAGTAAACAAAGCGTCCTGGCGTGCCAGCTGCTTACCCTGACGGGCCGGGACAGCAACTGGTGGGGACATTTTTGTGTGTGTTGGTGGGGGGAGAAGCTGGGAGTCAGGGGAGTAACCCCTGTGACCACCACCCACATGACAACCCCTAGCCAGGGACCCCCACACTCTTGCCATCCCGTCCCTTCCCACCTTATCTGGGGAGGGCCAGGGGAGGATGTCTCTAACCTGGCTGGAGCTGCTCCGGCAGGCTGGGCGGCAGGGCCGCAGCCTGTTCCGGCAGGCAGGGCTGCAGCCTGCCAGCCCTGGAGCTGCAGCTGCTTTGGAGGCTGGGGGGAAAGCAGTGTGGCCAGAAGTGGAGAGACTCTGGCCCCGCCTCTTCCCTTCTGTCTTTGCTGGCTGTGCTGCCTCTCCTTGCTCCCTCTGTTGTGGGGAGGGGCTGTGTCCGACTTCTCCCTCTCTATACCCGTTCATAAGCCGACCCCCTTCTCCGGTGCTCCCTTTTTTACTAAAAAAATTCGGCTTATGAACGAGTGTATATGGTAACTAACTTTGGAATTACAATTAACATTTAAAAAATAGATCAGGGAGTATATTTTGTGTGAACTATTCTAATAATCTTCACGACACATCTGTGGGGTAAAGTGGTGGTAACCCCATTTTACGGTTGGGGAACTAAAGCATCGAGAGTAATGCCAAAATTGTCAAGTGTCTGCTAACTTGAGATGGCTAGGACCTGATTTTCAGACTTCATGGCATTTTATATGTTCAAGGCACTGGTCTAATTGACATTGGGTACCCAGAACATGAACACAGAGTGAATGGCCACTTGTGAAAAGCTTGGTTTAAGTGATTCCAAGGTATCAGTTCTCCAGGGTGACGTTCAACTGCCTTAACCATGAGACCATCCTTTCTTTTCCTGCAGTCCTCACCTCATTCACTGTATACCTTCAAACTTCTGCAATAAATGAAGCAAAAGTCCTACAAACATAAGTGTCCCTCGTCACACAATGGATTAATTTTCTGAGCATTAGTCATCTTGTACACAGAATGAGGCAGGGATATTTTAGAAATTACATGCTCATGTAACTCCTGTTATAATGCAGATAGACACACAAGGAGACGTGCATGCAACCTTGACTTAATCTAACTTTACAACCTCGGATGTACTTTTTCTTTAATCTATCATAATCATTTTTACAGCTGTTCTATAGGGTTACAGATGAACAGGCCAAGAATAGTGAACTTTTTCTTGTGGGGATGATTTGCTACACGAGTCGACATTACTGTGCCTTTGCCTTTCATACCAAGAGTTGCAAGTGGGTGCTGTTTGATGATGCTAATGTGAAAGAGGTAGGCTCTGCATTATTGATGCTAGATTTAATGACCTTTATATTTTTTAATGGTACATTGTGCCCCAAATATAATTTTTTCTGCATTAGAACATAACTTATTCTTTGGACACCAGACTTAAAACACAATCAAATTTCCTCATTTTCATGAAGAGTAGTCTGACAAGTCAATTTTAAGTATTAAAAAAAAAAAAAAAAAAAAAATGAATGCACAACTTCACTGTTCTTAAATGTGCAACAATTGGATAGATGTTAGTGTGATTTTTCTTAAAAATATAGGTTTAATAAGTAATGAATATGATAAAATCTGTTGATGGCTGTATTTGTAGTGTGTTGATGTTTAGTTTGCTAACTCGTATGCAAATGTTTGCTTTTCTGCTCTAACTTCCATAAATTTAAAATGAGCAGTACAGCTGCAGTTGTGCTGTGTTTTTAGGATGACATTCAATTCATGTAAAATGTCTTTTGGTTTATTAAGGTATGCTTATAATTGGATTTAAGTACTAGTTAGTTTTATATTTGCAACAATATGAACATTTTCTTATTAGGTTGGAACAAAATGGAAAGATGTGGTCTCCAAGTGCATTCGATGTCACTTTCAGCCATTGCTGCTATTTTATGCTAACCCAGATGGTACACCTGTATCGACAGAAGATGCCCCAAAGCATATAATTCACTGGTCTCATTACAAAGCAGCTGCAGGAGATGACTTGGGTAATAAAGTTTTGACTAATGCCATTTTTTATAGAATATGACCAATATCTGTTAGCTAATAATTGATTAGCTGTCCTGATCTTAAGTGCCTTTATCAATAATTATCTAAATGTCCTGATCGCATTTGGTGTGTGTATACTTAACATTAGAACTAGCAAAATAATATTTTAACATTTGAAACAAAACGTGGATTGAGACAGTTAAAGGATTCCTAACTAGAAACATTCTTTAACTGTAAAAACACAAATGGCTAAAGCACTAAAATTACACATTAGAAGAATATGGTAAATCTTACTTCTCTAAGTTGGTACCGTCAACCTGTGGAACTCTTTGCCAGAGGATGTTGCGAAGGCCAAGACTATATTGGGGTTCAAAAAAGAACTAGATAAGCTCATGGAGGATAGGTCTATCAATGGCTATTAGCCAGGATGGGCAGGGATGTAAAACCATGCTCTGAAGTGTCCTTAGCCTCTGTTTGCCAGAAGCTGGGAAAGCGCAACAGGATAGATCACTTCTGTTCATTCCCTCTGAAGCACCTGGCATTGGCCACTGTTGGAGGACAGGATACTCGGCTAGATGGACCATTGGTCTGACCCAGTATGGCTGTTTTTATGGTCTTATGTTGACCTAAGTGATCTCATTTAGCCAAGAAAGAGAGAACTTTGATTTTTCTATTGTGTGGTGTTTTGTTTGTGACTAAATAGTATAACTAATAGGATTTAATTGTTAAATACTATTTAATATGTAGTCATGGCATGTTTTGTCTGCATGAGAGTAGATAGGTGATGGTATATATATATTTTTTTGGATACCCCCAAAATAGTATAAAACTGGAAAAAATGTTTTGAGGAAGAACTGAGCAAGTGATGACGGTTCAGAACCTTGAAGCTTTGAGGTTGCAGGAAACATATTATTTAGGGATTCATTATGAAAGGGCAGTGTCGTCTCGGTGTCTGGTCAGAATCTAGCCCTTTGACTCTGCAATGTTTGGCTATTGTTTTCTAGTGGTCCTATCTGTGTTATAAAATTTGAAAGTGATGATGAAAGGAAAATTGGATTTGGCCTGTTCCCATTCACTTAGTGAACTGTTGCCTGATGGTGACCATCTCAAGGAAGAAAATCAGAAGTGAATGCCCATCACCGTATTTATATTGGAAAAATGCATAATATGTAACATATTACAAAAATCTTCTTGTATGCCACAAACTATTAAGTGAACTATTAAGTAAAACTTAAAATAATCCAAAACTATACTTTCTAATTCTTGAAATTAAAAATAAATGTGACAATGTAAATGAGCAAGAATTTCATTTCTGAAGATTAATGATGTGTAATGTTATAGGATTTGAGAAGTCATCCGTTTCAAAGTCAGATCACACAAAAGAGAATGGATTTGGAGAATGTGCTAGTCAGAAGAGCATTAAAAAATTTGAGATAGACAATTCAGCCTTCAGTAGAAGCCATATTCTAGCAAGTGGTGGTAGAGTGCCAGGTAAGTACCTTCTTAAATATGTAATTTCCTAACTTTTTTTTCACAGCAGTGTTATTTTGGATACATTTTCTTTAGCTGCAAAGCTTGTTCTGAAATACTTCCATCATTGGTACTGAACTTTCAGTCCATCTACCATGAAGAATGATTGATTGACATGTGAAAAACTAATTTGAACTTAGTCACTATATGACTAAGTTCTCCACTGCCCTCAAGCCCCAATAAAAATCCACTATTGTAATATGTTGGGCTGTAGTTATTGACTGTAATTCTTTGCTTTTTAATTTATCTTTCCTTGTCCTGTGTTTGGAAAGCATAAGTAGCAATATTCACTTCCTTTTTCTGGTGGGTTTCTATTATATTTGTTAAAACATCAGTCCATTTTAATGTGTAAATCAGATTTTTCAGGTTAAGACAAATTACAAAATTCTCATATCAGGATATCACAATTGGGTGATGCTGATGCAGGAAAGGCACAGCTTGCCCTCCCTTCCATCCCCTCCCCCTCATTGGGTTGCCAATGTGCTTTAAACCTTAGACCAGTAAGAGAGAGAATGCAGGACCTAGCCAAGAGAAACCGGTTCTGCTTAATTAAGAGATTTATTTCTCTTCTCTGTTAATTACCCCCTCCTGTCTCCCAATGTCTAGATGTTAGCTAAAATTATTTTCTTCTTACAACTTGAAGCCAGACTTGATGGCTAAAGTACTTTTTTTCTTTCACTGTAAATTTTAAAAACGTTCAACTTGCTATTAACTCACTTGGGACCGATGGTGACCCAAAAATGAACACTGCTCACTGGCTGGGAACATCAATTTAAATAAAACAGATTACAGATTCTTTACTTGAAACTCCACTATATTGTCAAAAACAAAGCCTTGCTTTTGATGAAGTAATTAGTGTTAACTCTCTGCTTTGTTTTAGTATGAGCCCTAAAGGTTAATTTTCATTCAGATCAAATAGTTTTAGATCCAGAGGGAAAAAATGTAGTATGTTCAATAGCTACAATTAAACCTTGCTTACATGAAGCACAGTCGGTGTACATATTTTGTCAAATTTATAACTTTACATTTGTAAGGATCCCTTTAAGGTAAGTATTATATATTATTGTTAATTAACCTTAATGGATTTTGCTGTGTGCAGACTGTTTTGGATTTTTAAAATTTGAGGTAGATAGAAGGTGGTGGTGGTGTAGTCTTCACTAGAAAGTGAAGATATAGTAAGTGTAATTGTACATGCTTTTTGCCATGGCTATTTAGATAAGATACAATAATGAATATTTTTGCAGTTAAGTTGGGGCACAGTGATCAGAAGGACAAATTAAAGGACATCTCCAAAGAGTGTGCCCAGAAGGCAGTTGATATGAGAAACTTTTCATCCTACCTAAGAAAAGATGCAGATAGAGGATCAAGAAGAGACTCTGGGAGACAAAGAGGTACATTTAAAAATCAAACTTTAGAAACAAATGGCTAAAATATCAATTTGTCTAGATTAAAAATGTTATGTGCTAAAGTTGCTACTTTAGATAAAGAAAAAAAATCCCAAGATTAAAGTCTCCACTTTTACAGACATTTTTAAAATTTGTGCCATTTGAGTCTTTTTTTTTTTCCTTTAAATTGTTATGGCATAGCAGGAATAACTAGCTGTCTTACACACAACAATGTCAGACAGGGAAGATTTTTATTAAAAGAATGTACTTGAAGGAGAACTTCAATAGAGCTTCCTTTTTGTTTTCTTTTCTTTCATTTTACAAGATCTAATAGGAGAAGACCGCTCTCATTTTAAGTCAGGATCACCTCCTGCTGGAAATGGATTTAGACACTACACTGATCAGCGCCTATATGGTAGCCAGGGAAGAGGACCTTACAAACATGAAAGAGTACCAAACCAAACCAGGCCTGCTGCACAGGTCTTAGGGTCAAATAAAAGAGAAGTTTTTCCTGCTGGGGAGAAAATGATGAGCAGGGTTAGGGCTGACAGTGCCACTGGCTATGATACAGACAGCAGTCAAGACTCTAGGGACAAAGGAAGTATCAGCAGAAGCAGAAACAGAGGTTGGAAACCTATGCGAGAGACACTAAATGTGGACAGCATTTTCAGTGAGACTGAGAAGAAGCAGCATAGCCCACAACATAAGGCAAATCCAAGCAGTAAACCTAAACATGAAAAGGAGCAGAGCTTTAACAATTGGCCAAAAGAGAACCAAACCCAGAAAGGGTTAATGACTATTTATGAAGATGAAACAAAACAGGAGACAGGAAGTAGGAGTTCCTTGGATTCAGAAGGAAAAGGAAATACTGAGAAAATTAAAGGATTTACAGAGAGAAAAGTCCATGCTGACAGTTGGCAAATGCAAAGGACTGAGTCTGGGTACGAAAGTAGTGATCATATCAGCAATGAATCTGCCAATCTGGATTCACCTATTGTTGAAGGAACTAGCCCACTGGACATCAAGGGTATTAAAGAAACTGTTTCCTGCAGGTAATGCTAACAAATACTCTAAATAAGAGTCTTAATGAAGTGCGAATTGTTTTAGTGCCATGTGTTTTCTGGATTGTGGGTAAAGTTAACTGTCTGAAACATTCCATCTTTTATTGTAGGCAACAGTTGTAGAAAACTAGGAAAGGTTGAAATTTGGGTCCTAGAGAGTGGTAGGGGTTGTGTAGGAAACACATGCAAAGTCAAATAAACTATTAAACTAATTATACAGAATTCATAATCACCGTGGCCCAACACTTTCACCATTCAAAACTCTCATTAACGCTTATGAGACTTGTACATGTAAGGGCTGCAGAATTGGTCCCTTAGTGAGTAGAATTTATGGGAAGGCTGATGAACAAATCCTGTGAGAATGGTGTGAAAGCAATGTTGCATGTAATCTAGAATGAAACATTTAATTTATATTGAATTTTAGATGTACATCTTGAAGTTCAGTGGGTAAAGTGCGCCAAATAAATCTGTGCCTCAAAGAGCTTATAACGTAAATGCACACGTTGGTACAATTAACACACCAGTTTAACAAATCCTAAGCATTATTAAACTTTTTGCAAACTGTAATATACAGAAACAATGAACATAAGATGATATAAACCTTCAACGGCTTGTTTTCATGGCTCTCTAACTCTGAAGACCTTAAGCAGTGTTTTTTACCTGCTAGGAATCTAAATTTTCTCTTCCTTTGAACCATGTTTTTTTTTAAAAAGCTAATATATTACACCAAGCTCTGCCACTTAAAATGGTCCTTGCCTTCCTAGCCAATGAATATTTTTGGTAGTAGAAATACTGCAGATAAACAACTGAATTTCAGTGGCAAGTTGCTTATACCATTTTTTTTATATGTACTTTTCTAAGGCTGTCTCTACACTGCACACCTTTCAGTGGCACAGCTGTGCTGCTACAGCAGTGCCCTTGTAAGATACACTGTATAGCCACTCTTCGTTGGCAGGAGAGAGCTCTCCTGCTGACAAAATAAAACCACCCCCAACGAGGGGCGGTAGCTTTGTCAGTGAGAAAGTGTCTCCCGCTGACAAAGCACTGCCCCCAATGGCGCTTTTTATTGGTAAAACTTTTGTCAGTCAGATGTTTTTTCACACTCCTGACTGACAAAACTTTTACTGATGGAAATGCAGTGAAGATGGAGCCTAAATCATTAATCACTGCTTTTCGCTAGTCCATTATCAGTGATTTCTTGTTTAACACAACTCCTTCTGAGGTGTATTGTACGTCTGTAAGCTTGTGTTCGTTCATCCCATTTTGCCACTCCCAGTGATGCAGACTTTCCAGACCCGTCATTTTAACAAGCTATCAAAGGGAATTTCTTGAGACTGCTTTCAGGATGTAGGGGGAGAAAAAACTTGAAAGATACATAATGTATGTGTATTCCAGTAGGCTCTTAGGGTACATCTACACAGCAGTTAAACAGCTGCAGTTGGTCCCCAAGTCAACTGACTCTGGCTTGCGAGGCTCAGTCTGTGGGGCTGTAAAATTCCTGTGTAGACGTTCAGGCCTGATCTCTGGCACCCTCCTCCCTCACGGGGTCCCAGAGACCAAGCTCCAGCTGACCCCAATACCTATACAGCAATTTTTACCCCCACAGCCCAAGCCCTGCAAGCCAGAGTCAGCTGACTGAGGCCAGACACAGCTGTGCCATGGGTCTTTTATTTCAGGGTTAGATGTACCCTTCATTTTTTTTTCTCACTTCCCTCAAATACTATTCCTTGTTTTCTTCTCCTGCCAAGTTATCTTTCCTATACTTTTAGTGATGTGTACCTCTTTTTCCCTGCCTTCTCAAGACAAGAAAGGTAGAGAGTAGTCATGGTTCCTACCAAAGGTATTAGGAAGAGAGCTTAGGGACTCAATCCCCTTGCCATACCGAATCTGTTGACTTTTCCTTTCAAGCCTGCTGTTATAACTTCCTAGCTGGATTTTGTGATAACTTATTTTAAAAGCTTCACAACTAGGTACAAATGAATGGGTCTATGTGACCATCACAACTCATTGAGGGAAGATCTCAGTTTTAATATTGATACAAACAAGATGTTAATGAATAAATGCATGTCTAGACTAGGAAAATAGGTTGTGTTAAAATGTGTTTATGCCTAGTGTAAACAGGTCTTATGCTTTTAAAAAATATTTTAGCTGGTCGTGGTCAGCACAAGGCTCTGCCGTGTTTTAACCACCAAACATTTTAGGGTTTAAACTTGTAACACTTTGATGTATTTTCAGTTGTTTGCATCTAGTTGGATGTGATGGTAAATATCTGTCAAAATATAACTGTTTTGAATGAAAAATCCTAAAATCCATTTCTCCTGGGTTAAGAGTGACAAAAATTAAGCCATAATTATTTTAATGGTTTTTCTGGAATAGTTTTATATAAAAGTGACATGGAACATTCACTTGGGGCCCATATTTCATTCAAGGAAAATGATGTGCAATATTTTCCCAGATTATGGTCCCATTTCTCAAACAGGGGTCACCGCTTGTATAGGGAAAGCCCTGGCGGGCCAGGCCAGTTTGTTTATCTGCCCCGTCCACAGGTCCAGCCGCTCGCGGCTCCCATTGGCCGCGGATCACTGCTCCGGATCAATGGGAGCTGCTGGAAGCGACGCGGGCCGAGGGACTTACTGGCCGCCGCTTTCCCTACACAAGCGGCGACCCCTGTTTGAGAAACCCTGAATTAATTGTTCACTCCACACAATCAACCCCCACCTTCCCCAAAAGATACAGATGGGTCTTATAGCATGACCTGAAAATTTCCATATTCTGAAATAAGGAATGAAGCAAATTCCAAAGCCAAATACCCTGGTTGAAAATCTCTGCCAGAAGTAGTAGTTTGAGGATGAGTTTAACCAAAGTTTTTGTGTGACAACTGTCATGGTAAATCTATCCATTGTTTACCACTGCATAAGCACAGATCTAATAATGTAAATCTGAAAAGTGCATAATAAAACAGCCCATTGCCCAACCTTCTTCTCTTCACTGAGATCTCTCTTCAAAACAGACTTTTTCTTTAAAGATTTCCAAAGAAGAACATTACAATAGGGTTGGATCACAGAAACCCCCTTGGGAGCTGCCACCCGATGTGCAAAGACTACCCCTGCTTCTGTTTTCCCTGCCAGCTCAGGACTCCAGCACCCTGTCTTGCTGAGCCAGACACTCCCGTCTGGCTCCAGACACAGATCCAGGGTCTGAATCTCCTGTCCCAAAGCTGCAAGTTACCTGAAAACAGCTCACAGAAGTGCGCTTGTCTTTAGCACTCAGATGCTCAACTCCCAGTGAGGTCTAAACCCAAATAAATCCGTTTTACCCTGCATAAAGTTTATGCAGGGCAAACTCAT